GCTTCCTCCTCGGCCCTACGTTTTGCCGCTTCCTCCTCGGCCCTACGTTTTGCCGCTTCCTCCTCGGCCCTGCGTTTGACCTCTTCCTCATAGTTAAGTTTTCTTTTAGTCCATTTTTGATCTACATTGTGGATATGCGCTTTGTCGTCGAGCGTCTGGGTTGTTTGTGTTTTCTTGATGTCAAGCGAGCTGCTGAATATGCATGGATCGCTGTAAGCGTTGGTGTACTGTTCTTCTAGGTGGCGTGACGAGGAGTTGCTTGCGACGTGTTCCTCCCGTTGTGTAGCGTGCGGTATATGCTTGTGGTGCAGTTGCCGTGGTTCAAGGACTGTCGGGGATGTTGATATATGAGGGTTTTGCGGCGCTGGCTGAATGTAGCTGGATGACCGAGTTGTGTTCATTGTGCTGGTGAGTGATTCTGGCTTGCTAAGGACATGTGATGCTCCATGCTTGGTAGACAAGGCAATGATGATGCAGCCTTCTCTGAAGCGGCTGATCAGTTTTAGGCGACGTTTATCGCATTTGTGAACGATTTCGCGTCGCATGTGAGCCTCTGCAAGAACGACGGCGAAGGCAACGGAGCGGTGCCGCCTGTAGTTATGGACGGAAGACGCGGCGTATGCAAAGGGCTGGGCCACGTCCAGAGGGGCCGTCTCGGTCGGCCCCCTTTTTTGTTCTGCAGCGTAGCCGCCCCTTAAAACAGGTGTCCCTCCAACCTGGACAGCTGCGTCCACTGTCTCGCACGGGCGCCCGTCGGAGCGAAAGTGTGGGGTCATCATCAGCCCATCACTGCGAGGCAACGTTGCGTGAAGGGCTTCATACTGCTCATAGAAGCCCTTCTCTTCTCCTTTACGCGCGAGCAGTTTGGCTTGGAAAGCCTTCAGTTCGTTGATTTCTGCGCGTAGCCGCCCCAGCTCTGCACGGCTGCCGCCGTGCTTCTTGAGCTGGCGGAATTTTTCTATGAGCTTCTCGGTGCGGCGAATGGTGTCCAGCACGGCAAGTGCGTCGATGTGCATGGAAGCCCTGGCGCCGTCTGGGGGTGGCATTGGTGTCGAAACGTGGAGCAGCCTCTGTCCCCGCCGCGTCGCCTCTATTGACCAGCTGCGTACGTGTGTGTATGTGTGTGTGAGAGGAAGGGTGGGTGGGCACCAAAGCGTGGGTGAGCAAATAGGCATGCATAGAAAAAGCGGGAGAAGGGGAGAGAAGTTGCGTGCGTGGGGAAGTAAGACGCGGATGCATGTTGTTGCGGCCACCATACGGGACGGCACTCTCCTCAACACACTCCAGCGGTGGGAGGCGAAACAGCAGCAACAACAGTAAGGACAGAAATAATAATAATCCCTGGTACTCCAATGTATGCCCCCTCCACTACCACTTGGATACGCAAGAACAAAAAACAACAGTACGGTGATCTGCAGCAGATGCTAGCTACAAAATAACACTCCAAAGATGGGAAGACCAAATAATAGTAAATAAAATAACTGACTACTCGTACAGTTCTCTGAGATGCCTATTTACCCACGATTACAACATCCTTTTTCCCTCCATACACAAAGACGTCATCCAAGACACTTGGCAGGTTGTCCAGGGAGGCGGCCACAGCAGTCGGGTATTGGAAGCCTACGGAATAAGGTTGCTGAAACACAAATTCTAGTTGTATCTGACGCTCGCTGTAGGAGAGACCCTCAAGATACGCCGGGAGGAACAACCTCTGCATTGTTGCCTCGTTGTAAATAAGACCTGAGCCAGAAAACATCAAGCCTACGCCATTCTGCGCACCAAACGAAACTACATGACCCCCGCCGCCAAGAAGACTCAGGAAGGTGTCAAAGTGGCGGCCACCAACCCCATTGAGGTACAACGCCGCTCCAACGTTCCCCATTGCCTGCCGCATGGCTCTGGCACCTGTTCCGTTGTACTCAAAGACTTCGATGCCGTACTTGGCGTGGCGCTGCTTCGCCCCACTGAAGCGCTCTCCGGGGGACAGGCGGTGTGAACCCTCACACCGACCTGCTTTGCCAGTGCTGCAGCCACCAGCACCGTGGCACCGCCACCGCCGTTCTGCACAACGTCCTGCCCCTTACGCAGGTGTGTAAAACCGTTCAGAAGGTGCTGGGTGACCAGGTAATTGGCGGCGTTCACGGCGAGTGGAACGTACATGGGGTCACTTTTGTGCACCATTTTTGGATCCACCGCCACACGTGTCGCCCACGTCCCATGCACCGGCGCCACCTACACGGTGTCACCCTCCTTCAGCGTCTGGGAAGCCCCCACCGACACAACTTTGCCGAGGCCCTCGCAGCCACCAATTCGAGGAAATGCGGCGCGCGAGAGCCGCCGCCGTCCCAGCGCCGCCCCATTGACCACAGCGGCGTCTGCAAAGTGCAGCGGGGCCTGCAGCACATCCACAACGACGTCCTCCTTCCTTGGGACGACTTCAAACGTCTCTTGATGCAGGACACGGCCAATCGGGCTACATCAAGCGTAGCGCCACCCCCTCGACGAAAACTCCAACATTCAAAACCCACTCACTACAGCAAAGAACCAACCACCGCCCCAAAACCGACCCTAAGAAACGCAACCAACCGACAAAAAAAAAGGAAACACATTAAAGTACACCAAACAAAAGAAAAATAAAAACACGCCAAATCCCACACATCACACAATCACGTGCATCGACACCACAACCAATATACCGACAAATAACAAATAAAAATCATAATAAAATTCACGACCCTTGTTTATCCCTACACAGCACGCTTGCAGGAGTACAGCAGGTTCTTCAGCGCCTTCACCTCCTTTTCACTCTTAATGGCGTTCATCTTTGACTGGTAGTGCTGCAGAAACAGTTGTGTGTGCTGCTTCAGCATCTCCTCAAGCTCGCCATTCAGGATGGGATTGTTCAGCGTGAAGAAGCGGATCAGATAGTTCAGCTCCTGCACATACATGTAGAAGAACTTGTTCTTCGCCGCGCCGTACATGATGCTCAGGTCCTTGTGCACCAACAGGTACTCGTAGAACTTGACGTAATGCACCTTCACGTCGTCCAAGTACCCGTTTAGGCATGCGTACAGCGAGACGATGGCGCTCATAAAATACGAAGGCTGCTTCTGGTTGAACAGCGCCACGAACCGCGCGCCGCGAATCATGGGAATCGTCTGCACCTGCTGCCCACCACGGAGTCGGC